TACTTCTTGCCGAGAAAAAATGGGATCTGCCGTCGGCAAAGGACATGAGAAGCATGTTCACATTCCGGAAGAGCCCAGATAGACAAGTGTCGGACCCGCTTCTCACCTTTTCGATTGTCGGTAAGCCGCAGCCGAGGGTTAAAGTTGGCGAGCTAATAATGGAGGTCCCCGATACTCTACATGGGTTCCAAGAGGAGTGGTTGTGGGTCGGGGGAGATTGGCAGTGCCCCGACTTCGCCAATGATCTTTTTGCCGACGGGATAAGTGTCCCAATGGCCATTAAATCCGGTCATTGTAAGTTGTTTCCATTTTCCTCACTTCAGTTATTAATATTTTGTTTTTTGTTGTCGCTAACAGGTGGACTTTTGTGACCTTGTAGCAAAACCAACCGGGAAGAAAGAACCGAAGTTTGAAGGCCTACTATACGATCGAGTAGACAAATTGTTTGAAGTGTCTGCTAACAAACGACGATATCAACGACTTGTGAAAGATTCTCGCTTAGAGTTGGCTGGATTATCCCCCGGAATACTTGATTCTTCATTTTTACCAGGTAAACTTCCCCACTCATTTCGTTTATCTCATACCATTACTCGTGTTAACGACATCGTCCTAACTTTAAGCTTACTGTAACAGTCTATTACCCCTTACTGGGATACTTCGGTTTCGGAGATCCTGCAGAAGCTGAAGAGCATCGGAGACGTAATCCGAACTGAGACTTAAAAAACAAAGTCGGAAAAAACAAGAATCTCCGATCAACTGAGATGGCCGGACGCCTGAACCTTTCCGATCAACTGAGATGGCCGGACGCCTGAACCTTCTCAAAGCATGGAAGAAAAATCCCAACCGACCTCAGGGTACTGTCGGTGAACCGTCATCAACTAGAGCAGAACCGACGCCGGCGATCGTGAACGAGCCAACAGCTGCCGACGTCCCGCCACTTGAAGTGGAACCACTGCGGCAGATAATGACACCAGTCGATGAATCCGTGGTTGAGGCGGAAATCTCTCAAGAAGCGCAAGAGATGCCCGACGAGCCAGTGGTTCATCGTCACAAAAGATCCAGTGTATCTCATGTGGCGGAGAGGATGAAGAAGAGACAAGACACTGGCGCTGGCAAGGATAAGGAAGAAGAACCCGAAATCGTTTTGAGGGACTCCTTCCTCAAGATAAATGAGAAGAAAGCGGCGGAGTTGACGCTGCCAGAAGGTGTGTTTGACCCCTGGTTTCCGATGTTCCAAACGGTTGTCGAGCCGAAAATCACGAACAACCAGCGGTTCCCCGATGAAGCAGTTAAAGCGGCAAGGGTTACACTGATGTCGTGGGACCCAAAGACTCACGCGGGGATCGCATCACTGCCAGATGACCAGAAGTTCAGTTACGCCCGAGGTTGTTTGGGCCGGGCTCTTGTCAGTTTTATAGCAGCCGAAGACAGTTACCGGAACAGAGCTCACGAACTCGATGAAAAACAACATGAGCTGAGTTTGAAAGAAGGCGCCATAGCTTCTGTGGAAGATGAGAAGTCTCGCTATGAGGCAACTTTGTCAAGGAAGGATGTTGAACTGCAGGCGACACTGACCGAAGTAAACACCCTCAAAACCGAGAAAGAAAACTTACTGCTAGCCCATGATCTCACGTCGGTTGAGTTGGCCAAAGTTGCGGAGGTGGCCAAAGAAAAGGACGAGCAGCTTACAAGGTTAAAGGCTGAGCTTCAGGCCGTCCGCAAGGATCGATCCGATAAGGATGCTGAGCTGATCCGAAGCCGTGAAGCTCACGAAGTGGCGATGAACAAGCTCCGTCAAGAAATGACCGCCGCCGTCGAGCTTAAATTCCAAGAGGGTATTGAAGTCGGCAAGAAATCGGTAGCCGAGCCCAATGACGCAGCTGACGCCGGTGCGGCAACAGAATGGGAGCTGGAGTTAAACGCCGCCTTGGCTTTACGGTGGGTAATAGACAGGGTCGATAGCGGCGTATACACCATGGATGAACTGCGCATTTATCTACTTCACAAGATAGAGAAGTATGGCTTCAATCCTGAGATGAAGAATGCCCATATTCCGGCCGACCAGGACGAGAGAGACTTTGCTGACCGACTTCTAAAGCAGAAGGAAAATCGGATGCTGGAGCTGGACATGGTACCCTTGCCGGAGGAGCGGAAGGCGAAAATCAGGCGGTCATTTATAGACATGGTCCTTGAAGTAGAGAAGGCCAAGAAGCCTGGAATGGCCAACATATGTGTGGAGACGATTGCCGAGGCCTTCGTCACTGAAACATTTGAAGGCCTGTCTGATGAGGAACTTTTGGGCGCAATCATTAGCTATGCTGAGCGCAAAGTGGCAGAGGATGACGCCAAAGCCAAAGGATGGGTGATCGATCCAGTTCCTTCCGACGACGACCGGGTCTTGCATGAAGATGACGACGTCGTCATAATAAAGGAAAGCGATGTCGTCCGAGCGTTGGAAGAAAAAGAGGAAGACGTCATTCAGCGCCTAAGCCAAAGACTGATTGAACATCTGGATGGCGTTGAGAAGGACAAGGCTGAGACGGGGAATCCTCAACTCTCTGATGCAGAAAAAGCGTCGTCGTCGGGGACTAAAGAAAATTGATGTGTTTACATTGTCTTGTTGCTTATTTTTTCTTTTGAAAATGTACTGCCATTTGATTTTGAAATGGAATATGAATGTTTGATGAATGGAATATTTTTTTATGCATGTTTTAATGATTCATCATGTCGGGAAAAATGGTTAAATATTTGTCAAGTTAAAATTACCGACATAATACTAGCGTAATAATTTATACGAATTATTGACGTCGGCGTAACCTTACAGCACTTCCGACATCAATAACTTTTATTAGGATAAGTCACAACAAACCTGCCTTTATTGGAAGCACTTACCGTATGTCCTTGAACATCTCAAAGAACTTAAAGATTTTATTGTTAGTTGATCAAATCATCGTCAGGATTCGATATCAAATTTTTGATTGAGTTTTTAGGTGTCGGCACAATTTATAGCTTATCCGGCATCTGCGAGCTCCTTAATCGAACAAATCATAAAAGACTTGCTTTTTACTGGAAATATTTATTGTAAGCTCACCAAATCATCGTCGGGATTCGGTATCGTAGAGCATAAGCCTCCCCAAACCATCTTCAGGGCTTGGAAGTATCTGGCTTTGCTGCGTTCGGCTAGGTCATACCATCTTCAGGGTATGAAACACGTTTAGCCTTAGCAACGAGGACCGATTTATTGTGGTCCGAGTGATCGAAAAAATTACTGGGGTTCGTCACACATAAATTTTATTGATAGCAAAACATGATTCTCGTACAGCAGTAGGACAAAAACTTTTTTACACGTCGGGGACAGGACCTTTGGCATCAGATTTACTGGTAGTATTTCTTCAGATATGTCGTGTGCCAGGGATATTGAAGGGGAACGCCGTCTAACGTTTCAAGTCGGTAAGTACCATTAGAGATTAGACGATTTACTTTAAAGGGTCCTTCTCACTTTGGTTGTAACGGGCCGACATGAGCACCAGTGACTCTTTTCAGGACGAGGTCTCCTTTGACAAACGAACGTGGCTTGAGTCTTGAGTTTATATATTTTTCGCTACGTCATTTATAAGCAGCATTGCGAACTTCGGCGTCAGCACGTAATTCATCGAGCAGATCGTGACTGGCCTTCAAGTTTGCTGGGTTGGTTTCTTCGGAGAAGTGAGTGATCCGATATGTCGGAGAGGCAAGTTCAACCGGTATCACAGCTTCAGTTCCGTAAGTTAACGAAAACGGAGTTTCTCCAGTTGAATTTCTCGTCGTCGTTCGATAAGACCAGAGGACATAAGGCAATTCATCGGGCCATGATCCTTTTGCAGCTTCAAGTCGAGTTTTCAGGCCATTCTTGATAATCTTGTTTACGGCCTCTATCTGTCCATTAGCTTGTGGGTGATAAGGTGACGAGAAGAAATGCTTAATGCCGTAATCTTCACAAAAACTTTCAAATCGTTTGCCTTCAAACTGACGACCGTTGTCGGTTATAATGGAGTTGGGAACCCCAAACCGACAAACGATTGATTTCCAAACAAAATCCACCATTTTTTGCTCGGTAATGGCGACAAGGGGCTCAGCTTCAACCCACTTGGTAAAGTAATCAGCAGCTAATATAGCAAACCGAACTCCTCCTTTTGCTGTCGGAAGCGGGCCGATCAAGTCAATCCCCTATTTTGCGAACGGCCATGGACTATATATTGATTTGAGGAGTTCAGGATGTTGGTTAACGTTGGGGGCAAATATCTGGCATTTGTGGCACCGCCGCACCCAATCCGCAGCATCTTTCCGAAGAGTAGGCCAGTAGTAGCCTTGCCGGAGAATTTTATGAGACAAAGTTTGAGCTCCTTGGTGGGTGCCGCAGACTCCTTCATGTACTTCTTGCAAAATTCGTTGAGCATCTTTCTCCGACAAACATTTGAGCAATGGGGTAGAATACCCACGTTTATATAATGTCCCTTCATCGATGGTGTAATGAGCAGCACGAACACGGAGAGCACAAGCTTCTTTCAAGTCTTCAGGTAAGGCCCCGGTTTGAAGATAGTCGATGATCGGGTCCATCCATGTAGAATTTGGAGTTACTGAGGCGGCATCAACCATAACGACGTCGGTAGAGACTGTGGATGAGGTCGCCTGTTGGGTAATTTGCACAAATTCAACATTATCCAAGTCGGTTGATGAGGCTAGTCGCGAAAGAGCATCTGCCTGGACGTTGGATGACCGAGGTATATGCTCCAGCGTCATTTTAAATCGTGCCAGCTTCTTTTTAACAAGATCAAAATAGGGCAACAGCCGTGGTTCCTTGACTTCGTAAGTGCCATTGATATGGCTGACTAGCAACTGGGAGTCGGAAAATATCCGAAGAGAGGAAACATTCATGGATTCGGCAAAGTGTAATCCTGATAAGAGGGCCTCGTACTCGGCTTCGTTATTAGTGGCCGAGAAAGTAAATGCCACAGAGTAACAAAACACTTGCTGATCGGGACTAACCAAGACAATTCCCCCCCCAGCTCGCATAGCGGTGGACGATCCGTCAATGTAGAGAGTCCACGTCGGGTCTTCAATGGATGATTCGACAGTGGGAGTAAATTCAGCAATGAAATCGGACAGTACTTGGGCCTTGATAGCGGTTCGCGGCCGATACTGGATATCAAACTGTCCCAACTCTATCGCCCATTTAATCATTCTTCCCGACGTATCAGGTCGGTGAAGAATTTGTCGGAGAGGGTATGTTGTGAATACTACGATCGAATGCTCCAAAAAATATGGGCGTAACTTCCGTGCAGCAATGACCAAGGCATAGGCTAGCTTCTCCATATGCGGATATCGTAATTCAGCGTCGTGTAAAGCCTTGCTAACATAATACACTGGAAACTGCTGAAGCCCGTCTTGACGTATAAGGACAGCACTAACAGCAACGTTACTTACACAAAGATACAGGTAGAGAGGCTCGTCAGGAAGTGGCTTTTGTAACGTCGGCAACTGCAGGAGGACTTGTTTAATGTTATCAAAAGCATTCTGGCATTCCAAGGTCCATTCAAACGGCTTCTTCTTTTTGATAGCGTCGAAGAACGGTTTACAATGATCCGTAGATTTCGAAATGAACCGATTAAGGGTTGCCAGTCGACCAGTTAAGGCTTGGACGCCTTTGATAGATGTCGGAGGGGCTAGGTCAAGTATGGCTTGAATCTTGGTGGGATTGGCTTCGATCCCTCTTTGACTCACCATGTATCCTAGAAACTTTCCTGATCCAACTCCAAAAGTACACTTCTTGGGGTTGAGCACCATGGAATATTCTCGGAGTATATCGAAGACCTCGGAAAGATGAGCAATATGGTCAAGGGCCTGTTCCGACTTCACTAACATGTCGTCTACATAGACTTCCATGGTATGGCCAATTAAGCGAGCAAACATTTTGTTGACCAATCTTTGATATGTGGCCCCTGCATTCTTCAACCTGAAAGTCATCATAACATAACAATAAAGGCCTCGAGCTGAATAGAAGGAGGTATGTTCAGCATCATCAGGGTGCATGGGAATCTGATTGTAGCCTGAATAGGCATCCAAAAAACTCATAAGTTGGTGTCCCGACGTAGCGTCTACCATATAATCGATGTGTGGAATGAGATAGCTATCTTTTGGGCACGTTTGATTCAAGTCAGAGAAATCTATACAAAGACGCCAAAGGCCGGTTGCTTTTTTAACTAGAACAGGGTTCGATATCCACGTCGGGTACTTGGCTTCTTTAACAAATTTATTATCGATGAGCTTATTTACTTCTTCTTCAAGGGCCTTCTGACGATCTGGGCCGAATTTCCGACGTTTCTGAATAACCGGTTTGACAGTCTTGTCCAAATTGAGACGATGGCATGCCTTCTGTGGGTCGATCCCTTTCATGTCTTCATGCTTCCATGCGAACACATCAGTGTTTGACTGGAGGAATTGAATCAAATTTGACCGAAGGGGATCCTGCAGGTTGGCCCCAATATGCAACGATTTCTGTTGTTCTAACCCGTCCACGTAAATGATCTCAATATCTTCAACAGGTTTCGCTCGGACATGATGACTTCCATCTTTGAACTGCATCCTTGGATCTATATCCTCATGTATTTCTATGTCGTTTCACGAAAAGATTGTTCTTGATCGAGGATTTCTGTTGATGTTTCAGGCAAAACTGACGTTATGGGGATGTCGGTGTCGGCAGGCGGCAAATTGATCTCTACTTGAGGCATGTCGGTGTCCAAGGTGAACTGATCAATTTGTTCAATACGGGGAATTGAATTACTTGGCTCAACAAAGCTATTAACATCTTGTCCTTCAATCATATGAAAGTTAGGCGAGGTTGAGAGCAGCGTCAGACTTCGGGCCTCTCGTTGATCTCCGTAATGAGTGCCTTCTCCTTCAACAGTGGGAAACTTCAAGGCACAATGAAAAATTGACACAGCAGCACGGAGTTTATAAAGTACGGTCCGCCCAATTACAGCATTATATTCATTTTGGACATCCAAGACTTTGAAAGTTTCCATAATAATCTTGGACTTCGGTCCAAAACCTCCAAATCGGATGGGGAGCAATATTTCGCCAACAGGGCAAGAAATGCTTCCATTGAAACCTTGAATCTGATCGTTACACGGTCTAATGTCTGCTGGGTCCAAACCCAGTTTCTTGAAAGTACGGAGCATTAAAATACTTGAATACGCTCCTGTGTCGACCAGGATTCGATGAACAGGAATTCCCCCAATCGGTGCAGTTATGATAAGAGCATCGGAATGGGGATGAGCGAACAAATTGGCGTCTTCAATACTGAACGTGATAGGGCAATTCCGTTTGTTGATGGTATCTCGGAGATCAACATTCATGATCCGTTTCTCGGCATTCTGGGCCTCCCGAGCATAAGCTTTGACTTTGCGTCGAGACGTATCTGACTGTTTATTATTGGAATTAACTCGAGGTATACAACGTGACAAATCTGCGGGACCACGCATCATAGGTTTCCTGTGGTTGTCGGTCGAAGTCCCGACATGTGTGGAGAACGTAAAAACTTCCTTATCGTTTACACGAGCTCTCTTCTGGTTAGCAGGTCGGTTATCTTCATCTTCGTCGTCTGAAAGATCCAAAGGTCTTCCTTTCCGGCGGTTATCAAAATTTCGAAACTTTTGAAGTTGGGGTTGTCCGATTAAACGCAAGAGTGCCGATAAAAGACCGAGACACTCGTCGGTATTATGCCCTGGAGACTTGTGGTACGCATAGTAGCGAGTTTTGTCCAACTTATCTTCAGGAGTTCTCACAGGCCTCGGGTCTGGAATGATCCCCTTTCCTTTCAGTTCTTCATATATGGTGGCCGCTCCAGCAGAATAAACAGCATGGTAACCTGTCCTGACGTTGTCCGAATATTGATCACGAGCAGCCCGGGACTCTGGAGTATTTTCATACCCTTTAGAGGAGTTCCGAAATTGGGCTTTCCCAAAGTTTTTCTTATTCTTCTTCTTAGTATCTGATTCGGCCTTATTTTCTTTCACTGAGAAGTCGAAACTAGGGACCGACATGGATTCCTCGGCAATAATTAACTGTTGGGCTCTTACAAGAAACTCTTGGAATGTTGCTGGCTTATTCTGGCATAGGGTCCAACGAAACATCGAGTTGGGTTTCAATCCAGCAATGGCAGTTACTAATAAGGTTTCAGGATGACAGGGCTCCATGTTCTGAATTCGGTCGTTGAACCGGGATACATAGTCTTTAACGGTTTCGTCGTCTTTTTGTACAATATTGGTAATCGATTCTTTCGGAATAAGACAAATTTGAGCACCGATAAAGTGTGATCGGAAAGCTGCACGCAACTGCTGCCATTTCCAAATTGAATGAGGTGGAAGAGTGTAATACCATTTTTGGGCTCGTGGCCCCAGTGTAAGTGAGAACATCCGACACCTCAGAGCATCTGAAGCTCCATGTAAATCCATCCAAGATGTGTAATGACCTAAATGAGCGTCTGGATCCAACGTCCCATCATACATGCCGATTTGCGGAATTTTTACTTTCACAGGGAGTGGCTCCGCAGTAAGTTCGGGGACTAAAGGGGAATCCGCCTCAACAACAACATTTCCCGACGTCGCGACATGTCGGGGTGAATCTTCTTGGGACTTCTGTCTCATTTTAAGTTCAGCCAAACGCTTACGAAGGGTCTCAATTTCCTCCGCACTATGCCTTGAAAGACGATTCCGTTCAATTTGGCGTCGTAAATCTTCGCGAGCATGAGGGACTGACGAGATAGGTCTAGGACGTGGCGAAACTCTTTGGTGATGAGCAGAATGACTTTCAGCGGTCATCTCTTGCATTGGGGGTTGATCTGGGACTTGATTGTTCGTTACGGGATTAGCAATTACATGAGCTGGTTCTTCCTGACGTGGAGAGGTATGATGAGGCTGCGATGTAGCATGTGACGTCGCAGCATGTGTTTCATGATCATGATGAATATGAGTGGGATGCTCTGTTGGGTTAGTAGTTAACGGCATCGTACTCGAGTTTCTAGGCATGGCTCGAGCTATTAATGAAGACAAACCCTGGATAAACTCCGGATTTTGAAGGAAGTTCGTGATATTCGTGACCGGAGGTGGTGGTGTTGTACGACGCGGGGAATGATTAGTTGATTGGCTCTGGCCAGGATGAGTAGCATGGTCTCGACCAGATTGCGACATAATGACTCTGAGCGTGAAAATGGCCTTAAAAGTGAAAATTAACTACAAAACAGGGCGAAGGTTGTAGCGCGCCCTCCTTCTAGCGCCAAACTGTTGTCAAAATGGAAATTAACAACAACCAAATTGGAATGTGTTAGAGGTAAAGCTGAGTGTTCAATGATAAAAGCTGGTATATTATTACTGGAGACGTAATATTTCTGTAAGGTCTTATTATTGTCCGTTGTTCCTGGGGAATTCTCCCTTTTCCTTTTATATTTACGTACAATACTTATCTGTACAATAATCATTACACTTTGAAGGGTCAAAGGCGGTCCTTAGTTGCTTCTCCTGATAGCTTGCCACTTGGATAAATGCAATGATGAGTTATGTTGAGTTGTCGCCGTCTTACCATGCTGAGGTGGCATGTTATAGATATCGGTCCACCCAGTTATAACCGATATGTTGTGACTGACATGTGTTAACTGACATGTGTTGACCGACATGTGTTGACCGACATGTGATATCGGTCAACTAGTAAAGATGTCGGTTCTTGCTGAATCTTTCATTGTGTAGTCATCTCGAAGCTGGTGGAAGTGTTGCTTGCTTGCATGAACCCTAATTACCATTATACTGATCCCAATCAGCGGATTAATGTCACTTAATCTGGCTTACTGAAAATGATATCAACAGTTGGTAAGGCTCCTATGACTGTTCTTAAGAGTATTTCTTTGGCCGCTTCACTTAAGAAAATATTTTTCCAAGAAGAAAGTTTGTTGGTCACATTTTTAACAACAAAGCTCAAGGTTTATTTCTTGGAGGAGCCTAAGCCGAGGGGTAGACCAAAGTATTTAGTGGATTTGACGGTGGAAATACCATTCAAAATAGAGTTGATCTCAGCCCTAACTGAAGCAGATGTGTTCCTGGAGAAGTAAACTGATGATTTGGAGAGGTTCACTTTTTGTCCTGGGTCAGCACCATAGATTTTCAGGATATTCGAGATTAAGATGGCATGGATGGGGTCGGCCTTACAAAAAATGATGGAATCATCGGTGAAGAAAAGGTGAGTAACATATGGGGAGTGTTTGCTGAGCTTTATGCCTTGGAAAGAAAGGGAGAGGGAGGCTTGTTTGATGAGATTGGAAAAAGCTTCGGATATTATGATGAACAAATAGGGAGAGAGGGGGTCGCCTTGTCGCAAGCCCCTAGATGGTTTAAGGTTCCCATGAGGCTGGCCGTTTATGTTGAAGGTGAAGAAAGTAGAGGTGACGCAAATCATAATCCAAGAGATGAATTTAGTGCAGAATCCCATTTTTTTACAAATAGCTTCTATGAAAGGCCATTCTACATTGTCGAAGGCTTTCATCATATCGAGCTTGAGCGCCATAAAGCAAGAGTTTCTGGTTCTTTTGTTTTTCAGGTGGTGGATGCATTCGTTTGCAAGAACAAAATTATCAAGGAGCTGGCGCCCTAGGACAAAAGCGGCTTGGTTTGGGCTAATGCAAAGATAGAGGAGAGGTTTAATTCTATTAGCTAGGATTTTGGAAATCATCAGCCGCACCTTCACTCACTACAACAAAAATTGCATTTAGAGACGCTTATTTTTTTATTTGGTGACATTTATTAGTGTCACAAATAAATTTACCTACACTTGCAAAAGTGTCACCAGTTGCGTTGCTAAATTTGATGTCACGAATTTATTTGTGACGCAACCTAGATGCGTAGGTAATCTTCAATGGGCAACACTTTTCCAAAAGTGCGTCGTTAGTACATTATTTAGTGACACAGTGTATTAGTGTAAGTAATTTCAATGAGTGACTCTTTTTTTAGCACGTCATTATTATTACGAGTTGTGACATAAAATTTTAGCGTCGGTAAATGTAACACCCCGCCTTAAAATAAAAATCAGAGTGCGTTTTTCGCAAACAATTTTAAATAAAATACTGATTAGTTTGCAAAATACTGATTTGGAGTGTTACCATAATACATGCCTTACTTTCAAATCAAACTGTTTTTAAGAAAACGGACTTACAGTCTGCTGACCGATCAAAAAGGCTAAGTTTGACAAACAATAATAACTCAGCGGAAACTGTGGTAGCAAAACATGTAAATTGCCCTACGGGCGATAGTAACAGCACCGCTGTGCATAATTCGAACTTTATAAGCATAGGGCCCGTGTAATTCAAATTTTATAAGCATAATCCTGAACAGGCCGTCATCTCACCCCTCTGGTCCGACTGCCTGACCTGAAAAACATGATAAAAGTAGGGCGTGAGCACTAAAGTCCACTATGCTCCGTAGGAACTCATACTAAAGTAAACAGTGAAAATAATTACAATAACATGATCCTGACATATATAACTGAACTGAACTGAAACCGGTACTGAATAATCATGATCTGATACTGATGGTGAGATAATATCATCACCTGCCTGATACCTGAACATCTGCCAACAAAATGCTAATGCCGGACACCATGTGCACACTTTAGTGGGCAGATTAAGGCCACTAGAATCCAGAATGGACCGGCGACCATTCCGAGCGGATACTGATAATACATACCTCAAACATGGTAGAATAATAATCAGTGTAATACCGAGTCTGAGTCCCCACCTGAACTGTCTGACTGAAAAGGTAGTGCTGATAATCGTATCCTGATCAAACTGAAAAATAATATAAACAATTACTAAATACTATGCTCATACTGATAAAATAACTTTTTAATATGTTAAGATGCTCTACTGGACTTAAACGTGATATTCGGATTTAATCGGTATTTTTTAAATATTAAAATTTTGACTGAACCGGTCCCAACCGGTCTGAACCGGATCTGAACCGGTCTGGCCTCACCGCCGGTCTGCTGAGGCCGGGCGGTCGGCGACTGACTCGGCCCGCTGTCTTGCTGCG